TGCACCGGTGGATCCGCGACTTTCTTGTTGGACGAAATTGTAGGATGCTACAGGTCGACGACCATCTAACTGACTGGTATCCCTCTACAAGTGACATGCCTCAAGGCACTTTGCTGGGGCCCACTCTGTTCCTGATCCACATCAACGATGATGCATCATCGCTAGTCTCAACACACGTGGACGGAAAAAAACATAACTTTGATTGGGCCAAAACAGAAGTCCTGGCACGAGGTGAAACAAGAAGAGCAAGGGACTTCCTGGAAGCGTGGTTCTCAACAAAAGACTCGATCAACACGCAGGCGAGGCACTAAAGATCGTACGGGTCCAACACGTTGCTACCAGGCTCATCCCGAGTTTACGTGGCTTGGGTTATGAAGACCGGTACGAGAAACTAGGACTCTACACCTTGTCCTACCGTCGGGTGCGAGTCGACCTCATTTTGACCTATTGTATTCTACATCTCGATGACATCCCTATGCTGAGGCCAATGTTGCACTTACGAAGGGCATGCAGCACACGCGGACACAGATACAAACTTGTCGCGCGGGATGTGAAGTGAGTTCCCCACTCACTGTGCTTAGAAAAGAGAGTGGTAATTATTTAGAACAGTTTGCCTGGACATGTGATGGAGGCAGCATCTGTGCAGCAGTTCAAAACGTTGTTAGGTTTATATTTTACCACTAGTCGATTCAGAGGACAACTGCACACTTGCGATGACATGTCATATTTGTGAGTCCTGCAATGAGAACGATAACGATATTCATGGCTGACAATTTTTATAACGTTTTTCATCATATTTCGAAAGTTGTACAGATTTCCTTTCTACTTGCTCTATAATATGGTATTCAGTATTCTTCAGATTTACTTAGTCCTCGAATAATGGGTCAAACGAAAACGAAGCCGAGATTGAACTACAATGCTATTCAAAGGAAGCTAAAAATTCAGTGATGATAAAACTCAGCAGTAACTGCTCAGTATTGACACAGCAGTATCTTCACGAAGTACTCAAAGAGGGTACCAATCACAGTTCTCGCCACTGTACTGACAGATGACGACCACTTCAATCTTTCAGCAAATTAACACAGTCCCTTATATTGCGTCGCCGAGTTCTAGGCAATGATGTGGGCGCCGTCCAAGGATTAAGGGGTGACAGTGTATCAAGTCCGCGGGTGACCGTAATGGGCTGGAGTGTGCCGGCAAGGTCTACGCAAAAGGTGTGACCGAACAGATTTAACGTACTTGAAGACAAAGTGTGTTTGTATAATGGACGATAGAATGATTGCACAGCGTGGTCAGACGGTTGGGACATGGTTGCTTAATGGATGGATGCGTGGGTGACACGGGTCTAGAGACAAGCGGACTTGGATAGCAGATGGTGGTGTTGATACTCCAGAGGCATGTTGCAATAGCCAGCTGGCGGTTTTGTCATTTCTTCCGAATACAAATATATTGATTACAGCGGAAACGAATTCAAACTAGCCTTCTTCACGAATTTTCCATTTTTTCCACGATTCCGCGAAATTTTTCGTGACAGCAACTTTCACGATTTTTCTGCGTTTCGCGGAAAATCCGGTTTTTTAATTATAAGCGATGCAATTTTATGGGTAAATAAGCTAGTTCCTTACATGTAATTGTTATTCGGTTAGCTTCTTCCTAGTCCCGTAACATTACTTTGCAACTTCAAGGCTAGAACTACGCAGTGAATCCAATGTAAATAGAGATGGACTGTGCACCCTTAGTAGAGTATTCTTTCTCCCAACAGAATTTGAACTCTTGGAAGTTGGGGACAGATATTCGGAATTTGTTCGATCAATGTCAAAGGCAAAATGGATATAGGTCGGCCCAGACTATTTTCGCTTGGCGTGTTTCGGTGGACTTTTAGTCAATACAAGGAAACCAAACAGAAGGATAATTCCCTGATACGCAATGGAGATATAGACATCTCCATAAATGGAACAAAACAGACATCAATTCAAGAAATGTCCCATGATCGGCTTACATGCACGATTGTATTAATCAGCTGACGAAACACAAATATTTAGTCAATCCTTCACATGGGAACCTGATTGATTTTATCAGGCAACTCTCTAGAAGGAGCGGATCAGTTAAATGATGACTCGCGAGTACAGTTCGTAGGCAATGAGGATGAAGCATAGAGGTCGAGGAATAAACAAGACGTTTTCTGGTCCTTTCGAAGATGAGGACGGCAGCTGGCAATTGCCAGTGCCCAGAACCTGTCACTGGCTTTGACCAACGACCGAGAAAGATCGCTGTGGATATACGCTCCCTTGCGAATAGGTAGCAACATTGTGAAAAATGTCATCAGTCGTGGGATCTGTGAAATGCATATACAACGAAAATCAGGAGAGTGGAATAAAAACAGTACTGGAAAAAGCGCTTCGGAGATCTAGTTCTTCCTCGCTCTTCGGATGGATTTTAACGCCACGATTTGCTTTCAGCATCACTAAACCGCTTCATCTAACTGGTCATCAGTACCCAGAAATTTGGGTACAGTCCATCATTATATTCATTATACACGTCAGCTAGAGGTGGTAAACATCTCAGCTACTGTGCCGCAATACATAAATGAAAAGGAAAGTAAATACAACAGTTGCATGCCAGCTGAGCTACCAGCAACGGATAGGCATCGTCCCGGTAAGCTACCAGCCGGTTACTAGGCGAAAAGAAAAAATTATTATATTTTACGCTAAGAAATGAGCTCGTAGGTGGAGGGAGGCTAAAAGGGATGGGGAGGGAGGTCGGCTCCTTACCATGTCAGCAAGTGGATCCAGCCAAACGTGTTTACCGTCTTTCGATCACCAACCAGGAAGCCGTGACGCTCCAACCGAGGCCAGCTCCGAAGTGAGGGCCTTCATTCCTCTTGACCAAGTCATCGCTTCGCCACCCCTCCTTTTCTTCCATCCACATCCCCGGTGAGCAAACAACGCATGTCGTGGAAGTTGATGGGCTGGCATGCGCAACACGTGGCCCAGCCATCGGAGCCTGGTGCGTGAAATGACGGTGCTGAGCAGTTCATTCCCTTTTCCTGGGCCGTAAACAAGGCGAGGAACACGCTCGTTACTCACGCGGTGTTCCCACCAGATGTGAGCCAAACTGCGAAGGCACCGATGGTCGAACAATATGTGTGACGGTGCTCCAGTCCAACCTTCTGTGGGGACCAGCCAAAAACATCCTCAGTGTTTTCTCCTATGGGTAATGTCCCTATGCATGAACCTGTCTATGGCGATCACTTTCCGTCGGTCTCTTGGGTGGTCGCCTTACACAGGTTTGACTGTATTTGGTTTTGAGGCTACACAACTACAATTTGTTGCGTACAGCTTAAAATCGAGAGACCTGACGAGATATATTTTGAGGCTCATTTCAATGACTAGAAGTTCTCTTGTACCATTCGACGGTGGGAAGTCCCAAGCTTGGCCGTTAAATGACCATGTGCAATCTTTTTGGAGTGATCCCCACCGCATTCGTGCCAAACACCCGTTCGTATGTCACTCGATATCGCAATCCAGATTGCTTCGGTGATTCCGCACACATAGAACTAATAAACCCATGCAATTTCGGACATTTTATCGAGTCACGAACAGTGGGCATCATGTTGGTGCTCTGAAAATGTAATTGAATTGAAGATGGATGGAGTAGATCGTCTAGGACACGACCTCAGGTGCACCAACTGTGGTTGCCTACAACGTGGTTCACTTGGATGCAGTCCAATATTCGCTTTGTGGATGTTAGTGCTACTGATAGAAAGCGAGTAGTCGGAGAATAGAATGACATAGATGAATCAAAAAGTGGATTCCATCGGCACTTGTCGCTTCCGTAACCAGCGTTTCTCCTCCTGGATGCATTTGAGCAACGGCATTCCTGATGTAATCATGACATTGGCGGCGATCCACTGCCATTGTTTTCCAACGCCTGACAGCAACACTAGTTTGTGGTAGATTCACCTTGGTCATGTCCCTGTAGCGCAGCTTCGGTTTACCTGTACTAAATTGTCCATATAGCAGATGTTTGGGTAATCCATGCGACGGACATGCCCGAGTCACCTTAAGTGTCGAAGTAACAGCATACAATCCATTACGTGCATGCCACTTCGTCGGAGTACCTCCGTCTCAGGAATTCTGTCACACCAACGGATGGCATTGCTGGTGAAATCGTTTTGGAAAGCAGATATCCTACTTGTACAGGGTCCATATTTCGTTGCCCTAGGGAAGAACCGCTAGCACCATTGGTTTGTATACCATCAGCTTGGTTCTAAAACCGACCTGATGGTTCTTTCACACCCAACGTTCCAGCTTGACGAAAGCCGTACATGCTTTCGATACACGAGTGCGCAGCTCGCTGCTTATCTGCAAGCCTGTTAACAGCGTGCTCCCGAGTTAATAACATTTTGATGAGTCCTCAAAAACGTCGCCAGCAATCTCGATTTGCGGGCAGTCTACTTCTTCCACTGCTGGTGTTGATGGTGAGTCCTAACTTGGCCGCCGTCACAACCTGCAATTCACTCTCACTGTGTGCAAGCAACAACATCCCGATCGTTATCGCACACATTCGAGTTCTCGTCCCGAAACTATGGATGTTCAACAACCCACCATCGAAGCGGTGCTCGACACGGACGCCGTATTTACAAACTTTGAAAGCACGCGATATCATAACAGGTAACAATTAAGTAGAACAGCGGCTAAGGCACAGCCTTGCTTCACACCAGAGGCAACGTCAAAATCGTCCAAAGTTTGTCCACACATGTACACCACTGTGCAGTCATTTAATACGACTTACGAATGTAACTGGGCAACCAAACTTTCCCCAAACATATTCACACACTAATCCCGTCATGATTGCATGAGGTCTTTGTCAATTTAAACTACTATTTTAATGCACGCAGAATCGGGAATCGAATTTTTTCCTTTAAGCCAATCTTTCTCTGATGTTACTCATTACTTTTGAATTATTTCATTCCTTTCTGTGGCATTTGTATTTTCTAGATTTTGAAGGCCATGCTCATGGCACCCGTTTCTCGAAGTTTCATTGGACGATCTCCAGTCCAGCATGGCTTGACTTCCCCTGCAGTTGCTCCTAATGATCCCGGCAATTTGGCTTTCCCAAGGGCTTTACAGCCACAACTGATAGTGCCTCCGTGGATGAATATCGCCCCATTCCCTCCTAACCAGCTGAATCGAGACGCCATGAATGTTCCCAATCCTTGGCTATTTCCCGCTGCAGTGTTTGCTGTCCCTGGGTCTTGGTCGGACAATCTTAGCCATCCACGTGTTGGCTTAGCGTCTTGCGCTCAACCGGACCCCTGTGCTCAAGATACCGAAGAACAAAATAAGTCACTTATTGACCTGTTGGCTGACGCTATCGAGACGATTCGGGCGCGTGAGCCCTCACTTTCCACGCTACCTCCCAATTGCGACTTAAATCTCTTCGTTTCTCGACGCGAGTACGAGAATGGTCGCATGTTGTTGGTGCGCAACCTTCGTGCTATTCCTAGTCTTTGTCAACTTGTCGCGGCATCCAGTTTTCTCCCCTCGTTTGATTCGGCCAGTTTGCGAGGTGTATCGGACACCGCAGCGTCTACAGAACCTGCTTCCTCGTTGCCATCAGAACAGCCTGTCAGTGCTGGGGATCTGCATGACTCTCTGTAGAACTATCCTTCTGAGGATTTTCTGCAACTGCCTTCCGCTCCATGTCACATTTTGCGAATGTGATAGATCTTTTTGAACTAATCATCACCTTATTCTGTCGATTATATCTTCTCTCAGCTTGGTATAACTCATTTGTAATCGCTCTTTAGCCTGTTACTATGGTACTGCCATGTTCCAGTTTGCCAAATTGCACCCTTTTCTCACCACGGTGGGCTAATTGATGATGGTCCAGGGTTGGTGCTGTGGGCAAGTCCTCTACTTTGTGAAACATTGTATAAAACTTACATTGTCAATTCAGTGTTCCCTTGTGTTTGCTTTTGTCGTGTCTCTCGTTTTCGATCCATATCGTCTCACCAAGCAAAACTGGCTACAAAGCCAACTACCCGTACTCTCTGTTTGGCGCTTGTGTTTCACAGTGACGTCTTCTGTGGATGAGCTGTAACGTTCGCTGAGGAAGGTGTTATGTCCGTGCTCATACAGTCAATATTTAAAAATGTGGAAACAAGTCATCTGGTTTGAAAACGCGTGTTGCGGCGTATTTATTTGAATAAAGCTTACTACAAGCAGCTTATCCTGACGTGGCCTACAGGGACTCATACGGACGAGTTCAACAGTGTTTATTATCATATCGTCTGTCGAGTTACGTTTGAATTTGCTTCTTTCCTCCAGCGCTTCTCCACTATATCCGTCCTTCCCCGTCCTACTAAAAACACTGAGATATACACGTGGTACACAGTCGCGCCGCATTTAGTCCACAATCTCTTCTGGAGGGTTTCGGTGTACTTTCGCCCATTTCTGCAGTCACTGACGCATTTCGTCCTGTTTAGACTCTTTGGCCTTATGTCTTAAAGGTCACAACCTGTCCATTAATGTTTTTATCGCTGTGCTCCGTAGGCTGTTGCTTCCGCTTCGTGGAAATCAAACAGATACCGTATATCCTCCTATCTTGGAGTTTGGTTGTGAGTTTGTAGGAGCTGGGTTGACACTGGATTCAGGAATCATGCTTTGTCTTTATAGGATCTCGCCAAGAACTGGGGGTCATGCATTCCAATTGTTGTGTCAAAGACATAATGACAGAACAGAAAAATGTTGCGAAGGATGCTTCGCTAGTGCCAGGAGGTTTTAGCAATGAGATAGTTCAAAGATTATCTGGCAGTTGCAGTTTTAATGCTATAGTCAATGTAACTGGTCGGAAGTGTCATCTGACTAGTAACTTTCTAGTTTTTTGTATGGGACCGCAGGATAATGATGCAAACGTCGCCTACAACTGTCATTTCATGGTTCTTTTTATTTTTACTCCGGTTACTCTTTGGTTGTGAATGTTACTCACCATTTTACTTAACCTACTATCTTCTGAGACCGTGTGGGCTATCAATTCCTTCCTAATACAATTAAACATTGCTGAATGTTCAGCCCCAATCCGACACATCTAGCATGTAATCCTCTGAGTCGGATGGGAATTACTGAAAAGAATACTCAGCATCTGCCTCACTTTGATACGAACTATCTCGTCATCTTCCACGACGGTCTACTTCTGCCTTATCTACCAAATATATTCTAATATGCAAAGTGCAGTAAGATGATGAAAGTCGGTAGATGCATGCATTTCATATTATCTCCTCAATAACATTAACCGGTCTGCAACTATGTACTTAACTATGGGGTACAAAACGAACGACGCAAGTCCCACCATGAGAGTCTTAAGCTGACAAATAATTGGCTATAGAATTGAAAACTGGTAGCTCAGGTTGTTCAGATGGCAGTTGAACTGTTCGCTGAGCTTTGCAATTTGGTTTCAGATGTTTCGTCACCAATCGAGGTGACATCATCAGTGCTCACTGATGATGTCACCTCGATTGGTGACGAAACGTTTGCAACCAAATAGCCCAGCTCAGCGAACAGTTCAACTGCCATCTGACAAATAATCACTTCTGAACACACAGAGCCGGATTATGGAGACAACCTCAGCGAAACGGAGGAAGCGTGATTAAGGTGACGCAACACAATTGTGAGTCCTGATCCAAGTTCTGTCCGGTGACGCGTGACCAGTAGGTGTTTACCCACAGATGAAGCTGGCGGTCTGCATGAGGACGAAGTTTCAGGGGGCAAGAATTCCGGTCAGTTTCAAGTCCAAACCCATCTTGGCACATACTGCCCCATTCGGGAAGTCAAAGATTTATTGATTCTTCCCATGTAACTGGTTCGAATTGTTATATGCAGTGTGAGTTGACCTCAATTGGTCGAGTTTCCTTCGTTAGAGGCACCGACAAGTAACGAGTTGGGTTAATGACCACGACTTGGATAGTACTGTAACTTCTCTACGTAGCAGAGATAAAGCGTTTATTGGTCGATAACACAATAGAACCATCCTTGAAATTTGACTCGATATCTGTCTTTTTCTTGACTGTCGCATGCAGCTACTCCTTCGGGTCTCGCTGTTGGCTATTTCTCTATACATATTCCAGGATAATTATTGGCTATGAGTATTGTGATTAACTCCAACTTGTTGACCAGACAGCGAGTCGATCGAATTCGTCTCACATGAGTAACTAAAACTTTCACAAATGTCCGCTTGTACCTCACTGATGTTAGGTGGTGAAGTGGTATTGGCTGGACCTTGTTGGTTTTCTATAGGCGGACCTCTACATGAATCCGTCATCCCTGCGACTGATAAGGATGCCGAAGAGCGACAGACAGTTCTACTGCACCACTTTACAGGTGACTCGCAGACTGGTATATGCGCTGTTAACCTGCTCTACGAACTGCCCAATCTGTTCCTCCGACGAACAAAAATCTGATGTCATCCAAATATATTCCTGGATATCCAATATATCCGCATAACGCTTGTAATGTGACACTTTCGCTATTCTTGTAAATATGCCTCCTGTCATCATAATGAAAAAATGGGCGAGTACGATGTCTAATGTGCTACCCATTGCCACCCCATCTATTTGATGATACGGTGTGTCCAGCAAGTGAAAGTCGACATATTCGGTACCCAAAGTAAGGATTCCTTTATAAATTCGACTGACAGTGGTAACGATTAACCAGATTGCTCGGCTAATTCACATATGTAATCAACCGTATGGGGTAGCTGGACGTCGGTGAATAAATTCCACATCTAAAATGCACATGACCTTATCGGACAGGTTCATGCTATCCAACTGATCGATAACTTCAAAGGAATCCTTAAGACTATAAGGAATGGACAGTTATCGCAGTGGCGAAAGGGTCTTCACTAGCCAGCGTGCTAGCTTTTGCTGCGGTGCATCCATCATTGATAGAATTGGCCTAAGTGGCACTCCGCTCTCGTACGATTTTGGAGTGGGGCTTCTGCTTGGCTATAAACAATTGTAAATGTCAATATCAATCACGCGATGAAGAAGAAGCATGTCAAGATATCCAGCTATGCGGGCTTCAAAGTCGGGTACGTTCCCCACCTTCTTAAGTTTCTCAAATTTACTAGTGTCGTTGAGTATGATACCCATTTTCTGAGTGTACTCGGCCTTGTTTATGATCACTACACCTGAGCCATTATCTAGTTTCATCCCAACTACCTTGTTAATACATAGATCACGTTGCGCCTGAAGGTGTGGACTTGTAAGTGCGCAATTTTCCTGGGCGATATCAGTCAATTTGTTACTGAGCCAAACAACACTGTCAGGACTAGATGGTTGAGGCTCTTGACATTGAACAAAAAGGTTCGCAAATTGAGCTTCTATAAAAAACCCGTTCAGTCTTCTAGGAGGAACTTTGTAATGAAGCCATGTGACACTGCTTCTAACTGAAACGCGTCAGGTTACACGTCTGATAAAATCACTAGATACTTACTAGCATCATGAACATTTGGCTCCTTCTCTTGGGCGTTCGTTAGCGAACTCGCTCGACTCGCTGTCTGGTCAACAAGTTGGAGTTAATCACAATACTCATAGCCAATAATTATCCTGGAATATGTATAGAGAAATAGCCAACAGCGAGACCCGAAGGAGTAGCTGCATGCGACAGTCAAGAAAAAGACAGATATCGAGTCAAATTTCAAGGATGGTTCTATTGTGTTATCGACCAATAAACGCTTTATCTCTGCTACGTAGAGAAGTTACAGTACTATCCAAGTTGTGGTCATTAACCCAACTCGTTACTTGTCGGTGCCTCTAACGAAGGAAACTCGATCAATTGAGGTCAACTCACACTGCATATAACAATTCGTGTGTGTAACTTCGGAACCAGTTACATGGGCAGGATCGATAAGTCTTTGACTTCCCGAATGAGGCAGTATGTGCCAAGATGGGTTTGGACCTGAAATTGACCGGCATTCTTGCCCCCTGAAACTCCGTCCCCATGCAGACCGCCAGCTTCATCTGTGAGTAAACACCTACTGGTCACGCGTCACCGGACAGAACTTGGGTCAGGATTCACAATTGTGTTGCGTCACCT